AGTGAATATATAATCATATATTAGTATAGTATATATAAATATAATTATGTTTATTTAATAGATAAATACAATAAACCTAAATATATCTAATGTCAGTCCTAGCCACAGCTGTCGAGTATATTCTAATTCACAGCAACCTTTTAGGATAAAATGGGTTTCTGAGACGATGAATCTATAGAAACAAAATGCCCCATCCCTCTCCCTTAGAGTGCCTGCTGGGCTCACAGCCCAGGGCTTAACCCATTGTGCTGTGCCAGCAGGGCTCCTTAATATATGATATCTAATACAATTTTATGTAATACATAATAGTTACAGTACATGTAAATGTGTGTCTGTGAATACAAGGGTAAGTCAATTCATAGAAACATCTTTAAAATATCAAAATGGTGCAACTTGACACTTCTAAAGGCCATGGTTCCATTTCTCTAACCCGTCCACAAGGAGTCTGAGCCCTTCCACCTCACAACAGCGTCCTTGAGGAGCTCAGTCGTGCTCCTCTGGGATGTTCTCGGGGCAGAAGGACCCAACAAAGTCTGAAGAGTAAGATAAGGATTGTAGGGTGGATGGGCGAAAGCTTCCCGAAATTTTCACACAGCAGCCCTTGGTCCCCTTGAATGAGAAGGGCTACTCTTGGAGGGGAGGGGATTAGGGTGTGTGTGAAATTCCTTGGCACGATTTTCTTGGCCTTTTCCCCACCACTTGTGTTTACAATTTTCTTAAAACTTCTTCATAATAAGCCCTCATAATAGTCCTGTGTCTTTGAGAAAATGTATGAAGATGATTCCTTGGGAATCGTCAAAAACAATCACTAGAATCTGAGCTGATTTCCCTGTCTTGAATTTAACTGGCCCCAGCAGGTGTCCTCAATCCTGCCCACCCCCTCCCAATATCATTAGTTTAGAGCTTGCTTAAAATGATGGAGAGATCAGCTCTTTGAGCTGGCTGGTCTTTGTGAACCCTTTTGACAACTATTGAGTCAGAAGTTGGCCGAGGTCCAGAAGTTTTCTAAAAATGGAAAATGCTGAACTACACGGAGATCTCAGCTCAGGAACTATGGCCTCGATGTCAGCTCTGTGGTCTTCCCCCACCAGTTTCTGGACTTCAGCCCCCATTTCTTCTTTTATGGAGTTGATGGTCTTTTTCTTGCCTTACCCTTGAGATTTTTTTCCACCTTCCTTAAAACACTTGCTCCATCTAAACCAGCGGTCTCAACCAGTGGGTCTCAACCACTTTGCGGGGTCAAATGACCCTTTCACAGGGGTCACCTAATTCACAACAGAAGCAAAATTACAGCGATGAAGTAGCAATGAAAATAATGTTATGGTTGGGGTCACCACAACACGAGGAACTGTATTAAGAGGTGGCAGCAGTAGGAAGGCTGAGAACCGCTGGTCTGAACACTGGTTTTGTGTGGAGTAGCAGTGCAGTGAACTTGTGGCAAAGCTTCAGTGAGTGAGAAAGAGCCACGTGAGTTGTATTAAAGTTTTAACATTAACCACAAAATCAATTTTTCTTTTTTTTCACCCATGGCACAAAAAGTGTCTGTTTTGTGAAGACTCCCTAATAAGACCAAGACAAGTGTTCCGCAGAGAGCTTGTTTGCCTTTTCCAGAGACATATTAAAGCACCTACTATGTGAGACAAAGCCATGCATATATGAACTGGAACCCAGTCGCCAAATTTTTTATTCTCACATGATAGATATGATTATACACTATTTGTTATATACAATACTGTATGACAATATGTATTCCATGCATATTATATGGGTCTCTGGATGTTATAAACAATTTATACTTTACTACTAGCCTGCAATTAGACAGTTTGAACCCATAAAGCAACCATATGGCAGGAAAACATGGCCATCTGCTTTTGTAA